CCCCATTTACTTGGGTATTATATTATTTTTTCATAACATTCATTACATTTTATTGGTACATAAACTTTTTTATCATACTATCTCAAGGTAGAACTGTACCTTGGGTTGTGCGCACAACCTTGAGGTCAACTTTTAAGTCATTTTAAAAAGGACTCCAACAATTGTCACGGAGGAAAACTAAGTTCACACTATGATCCAATGAAGGATGTGACCCCTATGTACCATTATTAAGGGTAACAAATTTAAGACTTCTCTGGTCCCCAACAGTACTAATATGAGTAAACTCGTTCACATCTCACTTGTGCTGAAGGTATTGTTCCCTAGTACCCGTTACTTCCGATTTTATCATCCAATCATGGAAACATACCCTGCTCGAGGACTATATGCTTCACCAGTGATGGACGTTCCCGTGTCTCTCCATGATTTATTTATCAAGGTCATCTTTTATTTTATTTTGATTTTCTTCGTAAATATTTATTTCTTTCTTTATCTTTATAGTACCTGCTGTTATCTACTTGTATCGGTAACTTTTATATACTTTCATACTCCATTTCCATTACTAACTTTCATAATTCTCGCTCATAATGGTTTCAATACCAGGATTTTAAGCATCATCAAATATTTGGGTGATCAGTCCAATATTGACGAAACTTTGCAATTCCATCATTCGTATCCACACATTTCAACATTCATTCTCTCATTCCTCACGCCTTTTAAATATATAATTTTTAATATTGTACAAAAAAATGAGGTAATATATGTCAACTTTTCATGTCCGTGTTCAACTTTGTTAAGAAACATTATTATTAAAACCTCTTTTATTTTCCTTATCACATTAAAATGATAGTTTTAAATATTTTCTAACTGACACAAAAGTTTATAGTATAATTACATCGTATCGCTTATAGATATATTACTTTTACTTTTATCGAAAAATATGTATGCATTAGTTATACATTTAATTTACATATAAAAATTTAGGATTGCTAGAAATTTAAGAAACCGTATAACCTACAGAAAATAATTTGTAATCACTATTACAGCTAAATTTATTTTAAACAAAATAAGTTATTTCCAATTTTTAATTTTTAAGCAGGTTATATTAACTTTAAGGTAATTTATTAAAGGTTATGTATTTATTTATATAGTTACATAAAGGTTTTCATGCCTTTAGAAAAGAACACAAATAATTATGATTTATAATAATAGCGATTTTTTTTTAAAACCCTTTTCAAAATTGTATACTTACATTTAAATAAAATTTATCACGGAAAAAAATTGGGCTGAATTTAAAAATATATTTACTTTAATACGAATCTTGTCATTGTAAAATGTAATTTAATATATTGTATTTTTTTTTTAATACAATACCTACTAAAATATTATAAATATTATAAAATGTTAAATATGACAAATATTTTCAAGTTATTTGCAAAGACCGTGCATTTAATATTTAATGCATTACTTATTTATTTAATATAAAACATAATAAAAAAAATAATTAAAATTAAATGTTAAAAATTACGCTGATGCGATGTTACCTCTTATATCTTCTTTTTTCTTTTCGGTTTAATTTTCATATCTTACTGGACAAAGCTCGCTAAGGTACAACTGCTCCTTTCCATATTAAATTAATTTGCTGTTTCTTGAGTTTTGGTCTTTGATCATTATTTAAGAAATCACTTTTTATTCTTATTATTATTTCTTATTTGCCTTCATAGTTATATTAAAGATAAATATATTATATTACTTCATATACGTTATAGTTTTTAAATTTTCAGTCAATTATTATTGTGGCCTCTTCTTGTATTCATATTTATTAATTTTTCGTCACATCCGGTATTGCGTCCATTCCGTTATAACATTTCTTTTATCTGTCATTTCACTTCATTATTTAATTTAAATTTGTTATAATATTTTTATTTATCTTTTTTTTATGTAGTAGGCCCCGGCGGTGCGCATGCATTGTCGCAGCGCACCGCCTGGCAGGGTCGCCATGTGATGTCGGCAGGTGTTAATGAAAGAGAAGACGTGTTGCTGAGACTAATTCTTTAATTATACTGTTCAATAAACTTAAGAGTACATGTATTTCTTACACTACTAGTAGGGTGGAGACACATACACTACAGTCTTATAGCTCCTGAAAAGCCCTACAAAATCGTTTCTAGAAAAAAAAATCTATCACCTAAAATGAAGGAGCTATGCTTAAAAAACCGATAATTTTTTTTTTGTAAAATTCGAATTATCCGCTTCAGAACGTAGTAATCTACATAACCGGTATATTCAGCCGTTATACGTTATATGTTCCACTTTTACGATTCTTATTAGAAGACAGAGAAGAAGAAACATTTACTCACGTGTATACGTGTGTGAGTGTATATTTCGTTGATTTCTCACGAGTGTATTCTAAAGTTCGAAGACAGTAGCACGTGCTCCGACAATTTCAATGTTTTCAAGGGTAGTTTTTAACAAGGATAGGTTGAAAGATTATGAAATTGTATCCTAAAGCATGAAACAATCATTATTTAACTATTTTTACCCATATTTAGGTTTTAATGTTATTTTATAATTTTTGAGAATAAGGGGTAGTTTTCACCCCTAAAAAACAAAAAGCGTACAACGGCACAATATAGAAAATGAACTAGAGGGTGAAATAAGCCTAATCCCAAATTTTTGTACAAATCGGTGCTGGACGAAAAAATTGCGAGGTTTTACCATTTTTTTAGCTTCATTTCCTTGACTACTTGTGTACATCAAAAATCCACTAGTAAGTTACAAATAACTATCATTGGCCTGCCAACCTGTTGTTTCCTTTTTCTAAATTTATTTCAAAATTGTTGTGTAGCTGGTGTTTTTCTCAATACAATATAAACAGGCTTCTCTCATACATTGATCTATAGGAGAACTAATTGCCATAATTGCAATACTTGTCAAACAGGTTACCAACCGCAATATACAAATATTTTATTATACAAAAAAAATATTTTCTGTATCAAACACTTAGCAAACTCGTTCGTCTAAATAATATACCTAAAAAGCCAATTATTTAATACTATTCTCTATTATTGATTTATTCCACAACACTTGTTGACTCCAACCCATGTAAACCAGCAAACATCTGCAAAGTAAAATTTCAGATGCGTTGTCACCTCCAAGGATTATAATATAATTCTACGCGACCTGTAATTACACAAGCTTTATGAAAAGCCAGTATAATTACAAGTAGGGTATAGATCTTCAGAATGAAAGACAGCAGTGCACATATTACTACTTAACAACAAAAACAAATAACAGTAGTACAGACCCAAACGAACTCAAAGGCAGAAGTTCTACCACCTAATACTTCTATCATATTCACCATCAATCCGTCAAAATCCACTACCAGACATAGTCTTCTACCATGTAGTCAACTCGTTGAAGACAATGACTAGACATTATCCTCTACCGTGTATTAGTCGTTGAAATCCACTACCAGACATTATCCTCTACCATGTAGTAAGCCCGTTAGAAGTCCACTAGCAGACATCATCCTCTACCATTTAGTCAACCCGTCAAAGCCCATTATTAGACATTATCCCCTACCATGTAATTAACTCGTTGAAGTCCATGACTAGACATTATCCTCTACCATGTAGTCAACCTGTTAAAATCCACTACCAGACATTATCTTCTACCATGTAGTTAACCCGTTAGAAGTCCACTACCAGACATTATCCTCTTCCAAATAGTCAACCCGTTAGAAGTCCACTAGCAGACATCATCCTCTACCATGTAGTCAACCCGTCAAAGCCCATTATTAGACATTATCCCCTACCATGTAATCAACTCGTTGAAGTCCATGACTAGACATTATCCTCTACCATGTAGTCAACGCGTTAACATCCACTACCAGACATTTTTCTCTACCATGTAGTCAACCCGTTAGAAGTCCACTAGCAGACATCATCCTCTACCATGTAGTCAACCCGTCAAAGTCCATTATTAGACATTATCCCCTACCATGTAATCAACTCGTTGAAGACCATGACTAGACATTATCCTCTACCATTTAGTCAACGCGTTAACATCCACTACCAGACATTTTCCTCTACCATGTAGTCAACCCGTTAGAAGTCCACTAGCAGACATTATCCTCTACCATGTAGTCAACCCATTGAAATCCACTACAAGACATTATCCTCTACCATGTAGCAAAAATTTGCCATAATCGTCACGCTTAACATGAGAATTCGATATCGCAATAGCAAACACTGTTACCCATCGCCAGATCAAATATTTTACACTTTAAGCAATATTGTTATACAGCAATCTATAAACTACTGATAGACAGCGTTAAATAACTTTCACGTTACCCATATTAAAATCTTTTGTTATCCCTGCATAAATAAATTGGAGAAACTCTGTGTGAAAAAGTTATAACAGCGGTTATTACAATTCTAATGAAGTATATACAGGGTTATTTTGCAAAATATGACCCAAAATTGCAGATAAGGTTCAGAATAAGTAATAAGAAAAATGAATTTAAAAAAATCTCAATCGTTCAGTCCCTTTCATCTTTTAAATTCAGAATGCGTGGTAATGCATTATTTTAACTGATTGTCATTCATAAATATCTAACGCCTACTGTTTTACTATGCACGCACACATTCGTAAGTGCCGATCGGTCGGCAAAAATGTAGTAGTTGTTGCCCATTAACCGCAATCAATTTGGGATAATTTCAAATAAAAGTAGAAGCCTTATTTACTCGTAGTTTCAAAAACTGCAATAACAATATATCATTATTTATATATTTGAACTTAAGTATAAAATTTGGCTACTCTAAAATAACCTATATTTTTCTTGATTTTTATTGTTGCCATAAAACTCCTTTAATTTGGTCTTAATAACAAACAAAGAGTTCCAGTTTTCCTTACTGAGACATGAAGAAATATTTATGACACAAACACAAAAATAAGAGAAAATATGTGTCGGCATAGAACTTTTACAATCTATTAGTTACCTTCAGGTGCATTAACAGCGTCAGTGAAATGCCTCAGCGGAGCGGCGACGTCTATGAAGTCTTCGACGACGCGGTTCACAACAGCTCGCTCCATGCCGCGTTTCAATTCGTGCAGTTTATCAGTCAGCTCCCTGGCAAAGTGAATAAATAAAATAAATAAATAATTTTAACACTCGTTTTTATAATATTAGGGTGACAACGAGGTAACAGTTTACAAGACACAGCAAATTGCTTCTTTAGTCCAGGGACAATTCCAACCATGAAGCAAATACAAAGAGGAGGTGTTGTAATTAGATTTCACTATGTAACAACGCGTGACAATTTGCGCGGTGAGGGGATGTTAAGCCCCGCCCACTTTACACTATCTACAACTACTGATAAATAGTAAAACTACTCGAATCGTTCCATATCGATGTAGCAATGTAGTTTAGCTACCTTGATGATAGGCTGTGGCCTGTTCACAAAATGAATATAAACTATAAGATTCATATTTTGGCAAATTATATATCTGATATATATATATATATATATATATATATATATATATATATATATATATATTATGGCAAATTTCTTTGTCTGAATGCAAAACAAATTTCAGCACCTTCGTATGATTATTTTACCAATACTGAGCTCTACGTACCTGTATATTTTTAGTTCACATGACACAAAGTGTCGCCATCTAGTGTCGAATATATTTAATTATATTTGAAAGCCAACGCAGAGATTTTTCTAGAACTATTTTAATAAATTAGGTGTAAAATTACTTACAAATGAAATGTGATGCCATCCAGTGATAGCATCAGAGCGTCTATCTGAGTAGTTTTTACACGATAAAACACAACACTTCATCATTTTCTGCTTAACACTACGAGAATACACCGATTTGCGATTTTCAACACATAAGCACACAGGAAGAATGCTGACAGTATACTAACTAAAGCCACGCCCATTATGATGACGTCAGAACCTACTTAGAATCACAGTGCACAGTTGTTTATGCCGTCTCCTCATTGTATTTGCTTCATGATTGCAACCAACTTCAAAAGAACAAGGCTACAAACTTCTTCAATCGAATAAAGCTGTTGCTTCTGAAGCCTCAGATTTTTTAAATTCCTTGTAAATTCCAGTTTGAAAAGGATGCTCTACAAAAATGTCTCCCATAAAAAGTTACTAGTTCTTCTAGGCGGATATGTTCAATTATTTTTATTTTATTTTTATTTCTTAATCTATTTTTTAACCACCCACTAGGATTTTACGATACAGGATAGAGGATAGAGGCAGTTTACAAACATAAATTTTACAAGGCATAAACGAAGCAAAAACATGCAATATCCGTCCTTAAAACATAAAATACGGTAAAATCTACAATCCGTCCCTTTCCTTGTTCATTTCTCGTTTTAAGTTTACCTTGTGATAGCTCTAGCCTCATCCGAGTGCCCGTATCCACTCGAGCACATGTCCGCGAGCTTGTCGGACAGTCTCTGCACGTCTCCACATAGCTGCAGTATCTCCGCCTTCTCGCGACCTTGCAGACCATCCGCTATCTAATTTTGTGAAAAAGATATTCATTTTGGAAGAAGTTTAATATTTTAACAAGAAAATAAGCTGATGCACCTATATATGAAACAAGTGGCCGAAAAGGAACCTTCGAGACTGTAGTTACGCAGTCTGGAAGTAGCCGTAATATCATAACAACCCGTTTATCCGAAATTGTCCTCATTAAGCTTTTTATTAGATTACTCGTAAACATGATATTTGCAAGTAGCATAATTTTATCATAATTTTACAACATGTTGATCACGAATTGTGCCGACTAAGCTTTCGATATTAGATTACTCGTAAACAGTGTTGCCAACGTAGGCAATTTTTCGCCAATTAGGCTACTCAAGTTGGAAATCGGCTACGAAAAATTCTGAAAGGCGACTGGTCGCGAAATAGACTACTAGAGAGACGAACGATCGACGGTCAATTAGACTGAATCACAACAGAAGTTAATATTAGCGTAAAATAATACCTCCTACGCAAAACTGGCAACACTGTTAATTTCGGGGAATACTCCAAAACTAAGGATCACTGTCACTCTCACTCATCTGCAGAAGTGCGCGAGAGAGAGGGGTAGATCCAAATACACGGACAAAGCGTAAGGGAGTAGGGCTTCTAACTTAGCCTGTTGCATGTATTAAGTAACCAAATTTAGAATGCAATAAGATTGTAAGTATTCGCTTCGATGTTAATCACATTTGTTATTAAAAGTAAGTATTAATACCGGATACGTATTTAATTTGTCTGTTATTTGCGAAATTTCTCCAAGAGTCCTGTGCGTGCATGTTCTCGTGCGCTTAGTGAAGGAATAAGTTGACAGGCTACCACTTAATGTATCAGAGGTGGAAAAAATTGAACATTTATCACCAAGCCATGTGTGCCTCTCAACCAGCAGACCCAACGTTGATGATTTTCCCTGGCAATTAGGGAAACTATAATGAACAAGCCTTCTTTAAGTACGTTGCGCATCGAAGTAATCGGTACAGCTTCTCCCAATGATATCTTAAATGTTTGGGGACAGATATTCAAAATACAGAATGCTGGAGGGAATCCCATGTTTAAGAATTTGCCAAGTTTTCATTGCGATGTCTCTCATTACCTGTAAGTAATGCTATCGCATGAAGATTTTTTAGTGTGATGGGCACGATAAAGACAAAATTAAGGAACAGAATGTAACGACCCATGCTGATGGCAATTCTTAGAATCCGTAATGAATGTCCGAAATATTTGTTGCAACAATTTTCAACCGAGCAATCATATGATCAGTTTACATGCTGGGAGAAAAATGTATGTTTCCAGTTCCAGCGAAGCTTGCGCCAGCACCAGCACAGCAGAGGCTACAGAAAATTTTGACGGTGAAAGTCTTGCTGATGCTTTGTTGCTGTTGGCAGCAAATCATAATTGCTGATTTTTTTACGTTACGCAAATTACGTTTTTATTTATTCATAGCGAAGTTTTGACGTTTGGGCTACTTTAGACTACCTCAGCTCAAATTAGGCTATATTAGGCTACTAAATGCATGAAAAATGGCGATATCAGGTTCCAAGTTGTTGGCAACACTGCTCGTAAACATGATGCAATCAAAAACATAATTTGTAAAAAATAACTACTCGCAACTCAGTTCTTCTACCGTAAAAAATTGTGAGATCCATGTAATACCAAGTCGATTAATTTATTCAGTTCCTACTGAAGGGTCCTTGTCTTAAGTTATTACGTAATTAGCTAACCTCACAACATCTTATAGTGACCATATCAATATTAAAAATCTTTTATGTTTTATATAAATAGATTGACTTGGCAATCGTACTAAACAATCTAATTTAATATAATATGTATTACTTGAGAGAGACATTATGTTGTCTCTTTAAATTCAGGTTTCTAGTTTTATCCACAACGAAGTTATATGGGGGTCGAAAATGGCCTGAACTGCTTCGAGAAAAGGATGGTACTGCCGTGCCGCTTTTTTGCTCGACTTGGCGAGCCAAAATCATAATATAATAGAGTGCAACAACACAGAAAACGCTGACTCCACTGTATAATTGTTATTGCTTGGTCAAACCAAGGTGTCATACTTTTAGTCAACAGACTTGTTTTGACCATCATATAAAAGCCGTTGCATTTAGAATTATTTTCATTATAGTCCTCATCGTGGTAATCTAGTCAAGGAAGTCTATATTATACTGAATTTGTTTTAATTCATTATGGTAATGAAATTGTAATAAATGTCAGAGTTGTTTTTAAAAAGCTTCAGCACCGCCCCCGAAACTACACTATGTCTGTATGTGTTTTAAGTAACCCATAAAAAATAGGTGCTTCATTGGAATAAGACCGTTCCGATCCAAATGCGTGGTATATACAAAAACAAAGCGATGGAGACCAGCCGAGCGTCCGGTGGTCCGATTAAGGAAGGGTGAGGGAGGAATTAAGTTATGAAATTCCTGCGCATACCTCTCCGAAATGCATCCTGTAAAGCATTGAAAGGCTGGCCTACTTTGCGCCTGAGTACAAGATTGGCAAGATTGATTCTAACCAGATTGGTGTCACTAATTTTAGTCTGAAGCCGCTAGATGGCATTTTGCAGCACCAGGTCATATATGGCAGCAATAACCTATAAAGTAATAACAAAATAGTCTTGTAATAAACTTACCCTCTGACCCTGAGATACGATACTAGTGATGGCCTTCTGTCCCTCCGATCTTGTATGCGAATCGGCAGCGGGATGGAGGAGCCATTTGTGGGCCGTTTCCAACCTAAAGACAAAATATATTCTTATTCTCATTTATAGACTTAGGCACATTGCAGAGAATTACACAGCGACGTCACGCCTATGATCACGAGCGGGTAAGCTGAATCTAAAGAGAAGCAAGCTACGGGGACCATGTTTAGCCGAAAAATATGGGTTTAGATGGAAAATTTTGAAGGTTGCAATAGATGGCTGGCTAGCTAAGCGCAGAGAAAAATACTAACATTATACTTTTTGAATGCCTTGCAACACCAATGGTCATTGGAGGACTGTGGCGTTCAACAACCTAATGGTGTATATAGCCCAGGCAACCTAACAACTTTAGAATATTTATGTGTGCTCTTGAATTGAAATTGTAAAATAATAGTATGCTTGATTTGAATAAAATTTTATTAACAGTAGGATAACGACCTCGAGAATAAATTTCGGTCTCGGCGGTATACTCTATTCTGTCACTCATATATTCCGATAGAACGACAATCCGAAATGATCAGGCGCAGGACCAAGGGCTTTACGTGCTTTACGAGGCACGGGGGCGATGCCGAATTCCAATGAATTCCAGGCGAATTCCATGACCGAAAAGCCCAATAATTTATTATTGGCACTACCCAGGATTCAAACCCGGATTTTCACGGAGTTCGACTCACCACTAAACCAACAAGCCAGTAAATTGTCATAATTACAGCTGGTTACAGCCAGCCAATTCTATTGAAATAAGGATGTTTTTATTTAATTTTAATAGTATCCTCTGTAGGAATATATGTCCCTTTGCGAGGATTTGCGAACAAACCATTACATGATGGCGGGGGCAATCCTTAATTTGTGCACAGATTAAGACTTCCTGGAGACGTCGACTTTTGACGTCAGTTATATGCGGTACTTTTAAGGCGGATTTCAATGAGACTAGTCATATCATATATATCAATATGTCGATGTTATTTAGACAAATTCAGCGGTGGGTTATTAGGGATAAAAGAGCTGAAGATTAGTATGATATGCAGCTGATTGGCGCCTCCCCCTCACTCATCTCCCACGGAGCAAATACAAAGAGGTGTTGTAATTAGACTTCACTACGTAACAACGCGTGACAATTTGCGGGATGAGGGGATGTTAAGCCCCGCGCACTTAACTCTTCCATCTACCGATAAATAGTAAAACTACTAGCATCGTTCCATAACGATGTTGCAATGTAGTTTAGCTACCTTGACGATAGATGGTGGCCTGTTCACAAAATAATTATTAAAAAGTATAAAAATAATATTTTGGCGATTAAAAATTCCTTAGAACTGAATGCAAAACGAATTTAAGCACCTTCGTATGATTATTTTACAATACTGCGCTCTACCTTTAATTTTTAGTTCCCCATGACACAAAGTGTTACCATCTAGTGTCTAATATATTTAATTAAATTTGAAAACCGACGCAGAGATTTTTTTACAACTATTTTAATAAATTAGGTATAAAATTACTTACAAATGAAATGTGATGCCATCCATAGCATCACAGCGTCTATCTGAGTAGTTTTTACACGATAAAGCACAACACTTCATCCTTTTCTACTTAACACTAGGAAAATACACCGATTTGCGATTTTCGATACATAAGCGCACAGGACGAACGCTTACAATATACTAACTAAAGTCACGCCCACTGTGATGATGTCAGGCCCTAGTTATAATCACAGCGCACAGTTACTTAGCCCGTCTCCTTTTTGTATTTGCTCCGTGCTCCTCTCCCAACATCTTTTCGTATGGAATACATCAATGGGTTATTACCGCGCAGTGGCGGTAAGAATATCCACTAGCCCATATCATCCTGTGGGTACGACCCCAAGAGGCGACAGAAGGAAACAAATCAGGAGATGGGCACGACATAAAATAAAAACTACTTGTTTCCTACCTACTTGCCAAGCGTGGGAACTATCGCAAATATACCCCATGTGGCAATCTATGCGGGATGCTTGTGTCCAGCAGAGGACTTTAATGGGTAACGGTTAACATTAACATCAATGGCTTGACTGATAGAGTAGTAAGTCCGTCCTTTTTATTATTTGTAATATAATGCAATAAAGAATAAATAAATAAACAAACTCCTATTGGAATGACAACGTACCTAGCTTGTATAGTTTTCCCGCCTTGCTTCTCCGCCGCCCTCACACCTTCGTTAACAACGCCTTCCACTTCGTTTAGTTGGGAGCGGAGATCCGAAGCCAAGTTTAATGCCTGTAACATTTATATTTCGAACGTGGTAGAGCCATATTATGATTGTAGGGCCAATGGGTCGGATTGACCACGGAAGGACCACGCTTGCACTGAATACCAGCCCTTTTTACTAGAAATGAGACATTCCATCTTAATCCTCAAGCGTGACAAAGCATCTGCATTCTGATTCTTAATTAAAGATAGATGTAGATTCTATGGGCCACAGCATCCACTTACCATCATGTGGACTGTGTGTTCGTTTGTCACCTTTTTTTTATAGGAGAGGGGGCAAACGAGCATGTAAGTGACTACCGCCGCCCATGAACAACTGCAACACCAGGGGAACCAGGGGAATTTTGTTGCCGGCCTTTTAAAAAGGAGTAGGCTATACCTATATTCTATAAAGAAAAAGCAAACCGATGGATGGATGGGGCCCCGGCTGCTTTTTAAACAGAGGTTCCGGGACCCTTCGTATTCGTTGATGGTGACCATCGTGGAGTTTTAGCCGATAGATGTCCGACATTACATTTTCGTCACCCCTGGAGTATCCATCCATGAGGATTTCTCCCGATAAAAAATGGTACACTGCGACTTAAGTTTCACACTCCATGTGCCCATGCTACTGTTGCTTTAAATTAACTGTATAAGAGTACATGACCGCCTCGTCAGTCTAGTGATCGTAAACGCGGTTGCTGATCATGAGATCCCTGGTTCGAATTCCATGTCCAAATTGGCTAAAATTAGTTATTGGGTTTTTCTGTCATAAAATGCTCAGTAGCCACCAGGAGTAAGTAACTGGAGTAAAGAACTTGACAGTGTTTCACTCCTATGCTTCGGAAAGCACGTAAAGCCGTTGGTCCTGCGCATGATCTCTCTCCGGTCTTATCGGTTTACCGTCCCATCGTACTAAGAGAGTGAGAGAATAGAGAGTGCACCTGTGCTTGCGCATACACTCGAGCACTATAATCCTAATCTACGCAGATGGCTAGTCTCTGTAAGGACTGGTCGTCGTGACCGAATCTCTCTGGGGGACGTTATTATATGAGTACATACCTTAGACTCCCTCCCACGGCCCATTTGTCTTTCGTCGCATAAATGGTCGGCATTTATGCCTCCGGATCTGCAAGCAATAAACAAAATCTAAATTTATCGAATCTGCTTGGTTACTAAATATTTGATTAGGTACTTTTGTAGAATTAATATTGAATGCAGAGGAAAATATTTTGACAAATTTACAAAGCCAGCTCAGGGGCTTAGCGCTCGCTGTTAATTTCACGCCAGCACCAACAAATTATTGATTGCATTTTACCACGTGCTAGGCGGTAAAGGAAAACATCGTGAGGAAACCTGCATGTGAGAAATAAAAAATATTTCAGAGACATGTGAAGTCGGCCAACAAGCATTGCGGCAGCGCGTCGGACACTTTCTTGCCCAACCCTCCTAGAAGTGAGAGGAGGCCTATGCCCAGTGTGAGACGTATTATTACAGCTATATTTTACAAGAGGAGCGACAGTAAGTGCATGCGTGCGTGTCTGTACATGTGATAGTGCGAGCGTATGCGTGTGCTAGTGCGTGCGTGTGTATATTAGAGCGTAAGTATGCGTGTGCGTGTCCTAGTGCGTGTGTGTTATTGTGCTAATGCGTGTGCGTGTGTACACACCTGACGTCGCGGCGCACGGTGTCGGCCAGGTCGGGCGCGAGGTGCTCTGCGGCGCGCTGCGCTGACGTCAGCACCGAGCGCACTTGCAATGTGTGTGTGTACGTGCGTGTGCGTGTGCGTGTGCGTGTGTACACACCTGACGTCGCGGCGCACGGTGTCGGCCAGGTCGGGCGCGAGGTGCTCTGCGGCGCGCTGCGCTGACGTCAGCACCGAGCGCACTTGCAATGTGTGTGTGTACGTGCGTGTGCGTGTGCGTGTGTACACACCTGACGTCGCGGCGCACGGTGTCGGCCAGGTCGGGCGCGAGGTGCTCTGCGGCGCGCTGCGCTGACGTCAGCACCGAGCGCACTTGCAATGTGTGTGTGTACGTGCGTGTGCGTGTGCGTGTGTACACACCTGACGTCGCGGCGCACGGTGTCGGCCAGGTCGGGCGCGAGGTGCTCTGCGGCGCGCTGCGCTGACGTCAGCACCGAGCGCACTTGCAATGTGTGTGTGTACGTGCGTGTGCGTGTGCGTGTGCGTGTGTACACACCTGACGTCGCGGCGCACGGTGTCGGCCAGGTCGGGCGCGAGGTGCTCTGCGGCGCGCTGCGCTGACGTCAGCACCGAGCGCACTTGCAATGTGTGTGTGTACGTGCGTGTGCGTGTGCGTGTGTACACACCTGACGTCGCGGCGCACGGTGTCGGCCAGGTCGGGCGCGAGGTGCTCTGCGGCGCGCTGCGCTGACGTCAGCACCGAGCGCACTTGCAATGTGTGTGTGTACGTGCGTGTGCGTGTGCGTGTGCGTGTGTACACACCTGACGTCGCGGCGCACGGTGTCGGCCAGGTCGGGCGCGAGGTGCTCTGCGGCGCGCTGCGCTGACGTCAGCACCGAGCGCACTTGCAATGTGTGTGTGTACGTGCGTGTGCGTGTGCGTGTGTACACACCTGACGTCGCGGCGCACGGTGTCGGCCAGGTCGGGCGCGAGGTGCTCTGCGGCGCGCTGCGCTGACGTCAGCACCGAGCGCACTTGCAATGTGTGTGTGTACGTGCGTGTGCGTGTGCGTGTGTACACACCTGACGTCGCGGCGCACGGTGTCGGCCAGGTCGGGCGCGAGGTGCTCTGCGGCGCGCTGCGCTGACGTCAGCACCGAGCGCACTTGCAATGTGTGTGTGTACGTGCGTGTGCGTGTGCGTGTGCGTGTGTACACACCTGACGTCGCGGCGCACGGTGTCGGCCAGGTCGGGCGCGAGGTGCTCTGCGGCGCGCTGCGCTGACGTCAGCACCGAGCGCACTTGCAATGTGTGTGTGTACGTGCGTGTGCGTGTGCGTGTGTACACACCTGACGTCGCGGCGCACGGTGTCGGCCAGGTCGGGCGCGAGGTGCTCTGCGGCGCGCTGCGCTGACGTCAGCACCGAGCGCACTTGCAATGTGTGTGTGTGTACGTGCGTGTGCGTGTGCGTGTGCGTGTGTACACACCTGACGTCGCGGCGCACGGTGTCGGCCAGGTCGGGCGCGAGGTGCTCTGCGGCGCGCTGCGCTGACGTCAGCACCGAGCGCACTTGCAATGTGTGTGTGTACGTGCGTGTGCGTGTGCGTGTGTACACACCTGACGTCGCGGCGCACGGTGTCGGCCAGGTCGGGCGCGAGGTGCTCTGCGGCGCGCTGCGCTGACGTCAGCACCGAGCGCACTTGCAATGTGTGTGTGTACGTGCGTGTGCGTGTGCGTGTGTACACACCTGACGTCGCGGCGCACGGTGTCGGCCAGGTCGGGCGCGAGGTGCTCTGCGGCGCGCGGCGCTGACGTCAGCACCGAGCGCACTTGCAATGTGTGTGTGTACGTGCGTGTGCGTGTGCGTGTGTACACACCTGACGTCGCGGCGCACGGTGTCGGTCAGGTCGGGCGCGAGGTGCTCTGCGGCGCGCTGCGCTGACGTCAGCACCGAGCGCACTTGCAATGTGTGTGTGTACGTGCGTGTGCGTGTGCGTGTGCGTGTGTACACACCTGACGTCGCGGCGCACGGTGTCGGCCAGGTCGGGCGCGAGGTGCTCTGCGGCGCGCTGCGCTGACGTCAGCACCGAGCGCACTTGCAATGTGTGTGTGTACGTGCGTGTGCGTGTGCGTGTGTACACACCTGACGTCGCGGCGCACGGTGTCGGCCAGGTCGGGCGCGAGGTGCTCTGCGGCGCGCTGCGCTGACGTCAGCACCGAGCGCACTTGCAATGTGTGTGTGTACGTGCGTGTGCGTGTGCGTGTGTACACACCTGACGTCGCGGCGCACGGTGTCGGCCAGGTCGGGCGCGAGGTGCTCTGCGGCGCGCTGCGCTGACGTCAGCACCGAGCGCACTTGCAATGTGTGTGTGTACGTGCGTGTGCGTGTGCGTGTGTACACACCTGACGTCGCGGCGCACGGTGTCGGCCAGGTCGGGCGCGAGGTGCTCTGCGGCGCGCTGCGCTGACGTCAGCACCGAGCGCACTTGCAATGTGTGTGTGTACGTGCGTGTGCGTGTGCGTGTGTACACACCTGACGTCGCGGCGCACGGTGTCGGCCAGGTCGGGCGCGAGGTGCTCTGCGGCGCGCTGCGCTGACGTCAGCACCGAGCGCACTTGCAATGTGTGTGTGTACGTGCGTGTGCGTGTGCGTGTGTACACACCTGACGTCGCGGCGCACGGTGTCGGCCAGGTCGGGCGCGAGGTGCTCTGCGGCGCGCTGCGCTGACGTCAGCACCGAGCGCACTTGCAATGTGTGTGTGTACGTGCGTGTGCGTGTGCGTGTGTACACACCTGACGTCGCGGCGCACGGTGTCGGCCAGGTCGGGCGCGAGGTGCTCTGCGGCGCGCTGCGCTGACGTCAGCACCGAGCGCACTTGCAATGTGTGTGTGTACGTGCGTGTGCGTGTGGGTGCGTGTGTACACACCTGACGTCGCGGCGCACGGTGTCGGCCAGGTCGGGCGCGAGGTGCTCTGCGGCGCGCTGCGCTGACGTCAGCACCGAGCGCACTTGCAATGTGTGTGTGTACGTGCGTGTGCGTGTGCGTGTGTACACACCTGACGTCGCGGCGCACGGTGTCGGCCAGGTCGGGCGCGAGGTGCTCTGCGGCGCGCTGCGCTGACGTCAGCACCGAGCGCACTTGCAATGTGTGTGTGTACGTGCGTGTGCGTGTGCGTGTGTACACACCTGACGTCGCGGCGCACGGTGTCGGCCAGGTCGGGCGCGAGGTGCTCTGCGGCGCGCTGCGCTGACGTCAGCACCGAGCGCACTTGCAATGTGTGTGTGTACGTGCGTGTGCGTGTGCGTGTGTACACACCTGACGTCGCGGCGCACGGTGTCGGCCAGGTCGGGCGCGAGGTGCTCTGCGGCGCGCTGCGCTGACGTCAGCACCGAGCGCACTTGCAATGTGTGTGTGTACGTGCGTGGTGCGTGTGCGTGTGTACACACCTGACGTCGCGGCGCACGGTGTCGGCCAGGTCGGGCGCGAGGTGCTCTGCGGCGCGCTGCGCTGACGTCAGCACCGAGCGCACTTGCAATGTGTGTGTGTACGTGCGTGTGCGTGTGCGTGTGCGTGTGTACACACCTGACGTCGCGGCGCACGGTGTCGGCCAGGTCGGGCGCGAGGTGCTCTGCGGCGCGCTGCGCTGACGTCAGCACCGAGCGCACTTGCAATGTGTGTGTGTACGTGCGTGTGCGTGTGCGTGTGTACACACCTGACGTCGCGGCGCACGGTGTCGGCCAGGTCGGGCGCGAGGTGCTCTGCGGCGCGCTGCGCTGACGTCAGCACCGAGCGCACTTGCAATGTGTGTGTGTACGTGCGTGTGCGTGTGCGTGTGTACACACCTGACGTCGCGGCGCACGGTGTCGGCCAGGTCGGGCGCGAGGTGCTCTGCGGCGCGCTGCGCTGACGTCAGCACCGAGCGCACTTGCAATGTGTGTGTGTACGTGCGTGTGCGTGCGTGTGCGTGTGTACACACCTGACGTCGCGGCGCACGGTGTCGGCCAGGTCGGGCGCGAGGTGCTCTGCGGCGCGCTGCGCTGACGTCAGCACCGAGCGCACTTGCAATGTGTGTGTGTACGTGCGTGTGCGTGTGCGTGTGTACACACCTGACGTCGCGGCGCACGGTGTCGGCCAGGTCGGGCGCGAGGTGCTCTGCGGCGCGCTGCGCTGACGTCAGCACCGAGCGCACTTGCAATGTGTGTGTGTACGTGCGTGTGCGTGTGCGTGTGCGTGTGTACACACCTGACGTCGCGGCGCACGGTGTCGGCCAGGTCGGGCGCGAGGTGCTCTGCGGCGCGCTGCGCTGACGTCAGCACCGAGCGCACTTGCAATGTGTGTGTGTACGTGCGTGCGTGCGTGTGTACACACCTGACGTCGCGGCGCACGGTGTCGGCCAGGTCGGGCGCGAGGTGCTCTGCGGCGCGCTGCGCTGACGTCAGCACCGAGCGCACTTGCAATGTGTGTGTGTACGTGCGGTGCGTGT